TACAACAGAGGTAGAAATCTTTCTTTAAATAATGAAGTGAAATTTGAAGAAGAAACGAGGGGCAGACATATTGAAAATGATGCATGCTTGCCTGCTTAGAAAACTAAAGATTAAGTAAGAAATGTTTTTAGTAAGCCAAATGGATTCAAGACAATTTCACATAAATCAGCACCTTTATCCTAAGTGAGTAGTCACTGCTGACTGCAGTGAATTGCAGAAGGAGGGAGAAAAGACTAGTGGATTCCACAAGCCAGAGCTCATCGGGCACTTTGAGAAGAGATCTTTCAGTGCAATGCTGGGAGCTAAGGCAGACTCAAGCACATATTTGAGTACACTGGAGAGACAGCAAATGGTAACTGTACACCCAGACAAATGCTTTTAAGACTCGGGGCACTTGCTGGAGAAGGATGTGGGAGTCAAGTGACGATTGTTTTTTAACAAGGAATAATGTTTACATGGCAACAGGATAGGTGAAGTGGAAAGAGGACACGTGGATGAGAGGGGACCCAGAACACAGGTGGAAACAGCAACCTTGGCAACAGGGAATCCTTCCATTTTAGCCTGTGCAAAGGAGGAAAGGCTAAGCACAGAGGAAGGCTTAGAGATGGAATGATGAGAGAATGTTCATCCCACATCTTCCAGTTTGCAAGTGCAGTCTGCAAGACATGGAGGTGGGGGTGAGCAGCGAGCACATCACCATTCTGAGAATGCTTCTGAATGGAGAGTTGTGCCTTGGGAAATCTCAGAGCAGTCTACCAGCTTAGGTGGCTCTCTCTAGGGGGATGAAAATCTTAAGTGCAAACACACAGAGTACCGATACTTGGATTCAGTCAAGATTGGGGATCTTGAGGGAGGCCAAGATGATAAATGGGGATGACTGTTCCATGGATTTGCATGCCCTTGAGAAGAAGAGAGAATGGAAATTCAACTAGGGCTGCATTGAAACAGAGCTGGGTCTTGGCCCAGATCAAGTAGTCAGGAAAGGTCACCTGAAGCAGTCCCAAGGAAGGCCACTGGAAAACTGAAATACTGAGGTCATGCACCAGGGGGCAAGAGAAAACAAGAAATGAGCCCAACTCCGCTCCACCTAAGGTTTGGTGACTTCCCTGAGAGCCATTGGTCCTTGTACCTGCTCTACATTTCCCCATGGCACCTGGGTGGCGGGGGCGGGGGGTGGCAGATGCTGACTACATGAACTGGAGCCACTGTAGGTACCTCTAAATGTGGGACGCTAGGGCGTGGGGGACAAGGGCAGAGGACGCCATCAGCCCTAGGAGTTCAGAGAACCTGCTTTTAGTGCCTTCATCCGGTAATCCTGCTCCATATCTGGCCTCTGGAAAATGCTCTGGCCTCAAGCAACCACAGAAGGAAATTCTGGATGTTCTTGGGCACCAGAAGGTGTGGGGATGTGGTCTTAAGAGGTCCTATTCCATGCCCTCTTTCCCGAGGCTAGTGCCATAGTATGTACCTCACAGGCTGGCTGCAAGCCAGAGGGCCGCTGGGGTCCATTGCCAAGAGCCTGAAAACAAAGACTTGGGCCGTAGGAAGGGAGGATTCTGGTGGAGCGAGGGCACCGATCAACAGATCTTTTGTGATACCTCCTGCATGCCTGACCCATGCTGACCCTGGGAACACACAACAATGTAGACTTCATGCCTTTGGGAATGCAGCTCTCTGTTTCCATGAAAGCAAGTGCAGCAGTTAAAGGAGAAAGGCTGAGGAGGGGGAGACCCGTGCTGATGGATATGAGAGAGGGGCAAGTGAATGCTGCAAGGAGAGAAGTAGTTTCTGCAATGCATCCGCTGCGTCGGGGAGCAGCCATCTCAGTGACTGCAGCGGAACCTAGCAGGCCACACAACTCAGAGCCGCAGGGAGACAGACTACCACTCGCTGACTGTGAAGCATGTGAGTCTTCGCTCACCGTTCCGGGGGTTGGTAGATGCTGAAAGGCAAAGGCCGTGGCCCTGGTTTTATAGCAGGCAGCTGAAGGTACAAGCCCACGAGGCCTGGCCTTGCCTCCCTCAGTGCCACTGCCGGTTCGGCATCTGGGCAGAGGGCACCACCTACTGGCAGGTAAGAACAGAAGGAAAAAGCAGCCCTCAGCTGAGTGGCCTCCTCCCAGCTTGGCTCTTCGAATGTCCACAGACAACCCCCACCCAAGCAGCCTCCATTGGCTTTCCTAGCTGATCATTCACACCAAAACTGCTGTGAACATCAGCCTGTGAGTTCCGGCCTGCTGCAGCCCCTCTGCCACCTACCTGCCCGTGGGCTAGACCTTGGCTTACACAAACACTTGACTGCACTCTTCTAAATACTGCAATTTGTCTGTCCTGCCGGCCTGACCTTTGCCTCCCCGCATTTGACATGTTTTCATTCTACAGGGTTGTGGGTTTTGTTTCATCAACAAGGTGAACATGTGGTTAATTACCCTGTGACCTGTGGGGTCAGGGTCTCCATCTGGTCAGGAAACATTCATGGCTCCAGGAGTTTCAGGCCTCTTGGCATTTAATTATCAAATTCTCTCCAGTCCAGCCTGCCCCGCCTCCATCTACCTGCAGTGTTCCAACTTGTGTACACTACAGAAGTTAATCAGGGCTCATTGGAGCCACCAACAGGGATGTGTGGCAACTTACTCTGTCATCCAGCAAGTCCCTTCATCCTACATGCCCCATAGCAAAGTGGTGATCTAAGCATCCCATAGCAGTGTCAGTTGGATTTCAGCTGCTCTGCTTCCAATCCAGCTCCCTGCTAATGACCTTGGAAGGCAGCAGAGGATGGTCTAAGATTTTGGCTCCTATACTCATGCTGGAGACCCGAAAGAAGCTTCCAATTCCTGGCTCCTGGCTTTGGACCAGACCAGCTCCAGCTGTTGCAGACATCTGTGTAGTACAGTACTGGCTAGAGGACATCTATCTGTAACTCCACCCCTCAAGCAGGTCATATACATATAAGGAGAGAGTGGGGCTCCTGTCCTGCCTGGCAACCCAGCCGGTCCACACAGCCCCAGGAAGAGTCCATCTCAGAGGAAGAAGCTTGCAGCAAGGCTGCGAGATGACTAGCTCAAGTGTACAACCTTAACAACAGTTCCACATGCACTAAGAGAAGGGGAGTGGTGCACTAAGTTTGTGGGTTCCTAGTCAACTCCTTTGCCACAGGCCACAAGTGAGATGGCTACAGCAATAGACATTGATTTCCCACAGTTCAGAAAGGGAGGCAGCACAATAAGGCCAGCTTCCTGCGAGGCACACTGTCTTGGTTTGTAAGTGGCCATCCTCAGGATGGTCTCAGGCCCTCTGATGGGAGTGTGCACACACACACAGAAGGGTTCTGGCAGAAGCACCTGCCTCTCCTGTTCTCCCACTGAGAACACTGCTAGTAGCATCAGGGGTGCGCTCTCGTTGTCTCACTGAAACCCAATCATCTATCAAAGGTTTCATTTCTATATCTAACATTCTGCACAAAGAAAAGTTCAGAAAAGCTTGGAAAAAAATTTCATCTGCACTAAACATGCGGATTTGTCTTTGTCGTTATTCCCCACACAATACAGTGGAATAGCTATCTGCACAGCATTTACATTGTGTTAAGCGTTACAAATCAGCTACAGGCACTTGAAAAAGCCATGGGTGGCTGTGTGAGTTCTATCTAAACACAACACCATTTCATACTGGACACCTGAGTATGTGTGAACTGTGGTTTCCGTGAGGGAGGCTCTTATAACCAGCCCTCTAGAACCAGCCCTCCGCAGATCCTAAGAAACACCACTGCCATCACACTGGGGATTAGCATGTCTATACAGGAATTTGGCTGGACACAAATTAAGTTTACACACTGGATGGAGATGACACTGCTGGAAAGCTGCTAGCTTCCTCCTGTGTGAGGCACCACGTCTGCCCTTTATCTCTTCCAGGAATGGCTGACTGCCTTAAAAAGGCAAACAAGTTCAGGAAGGGCTAGCCAAGCCCCTCAAGCACACACCCCAGGCAGCAGGTGGGAAGATGCTCCCATTCGAGCTCCACTGGTGAGCATACTCCAAAATCCTCTAAGGAATGGAAAACGGCTGTAGATGCCAAAGATGGTAACTGGTTGGCACACAGCCCTTTAGTATATAGCTGATGTCTGAGAAGTGCGAGGCACAGCCATGGACACAACCAATGACCCAGTACTCATTAGGTTGACTGCTTCAAGGCCTGGTGGGCCTGTGGCTGCCTTTGGTATCAATGGAGGAGTCGGCACAACTGAGCTACCAACTGGGCCTGGACACACAGTGAGATGGGATGGCAGCTATCAGCTGCCTCTGCCAGTATGGCATGGAGGCTGCAGGTCCTGCACAAGGGCTCCAAATAATCTGGTGGGAAAGCCCTTCCCTCGCACTCCTGGCACCATTTAACTTAAGTCAACACCACTTCTAAGGTTCCAAAAAGAAATCACAAATTCATGGCCAGCTGCAGTGAGAGAAAATGTTTATTAAGCAACAAGGCTGTAATCACTTTAGCTCCTGTGTGAGTGCTTTTGATGAAATAATTTGGCATACCAACAGTTGGAATCCCAAGCCTCTGAGTTTCTCCAAAATGACGGAGAGGCCCATCTGACCATAAAGGCCAGGACCTCAGAATTCTGATGGTTAAGAATAAGGGCTCAACAGACTGCAAACCATTCTGCCGATGTTTTTTTCTGGCAGGAAAAAAGGCATTCCAACTTGAACAGACCTGCTGCCCATAGTGGAATGTGTGTATGCCCAGCTGGCAAGGGCACACCAAAGACAGCAGGATCCTGCTATCGCCTGGTTGCTGTCATACACTAAGACACAAAGAGCCACAGGCTATCTTTGCAGCAGGGTTTCAAAAACACAGGTTATGCTTAATAAACAATAACAGAGTGTATCAAGAAAGAAAAGGAAGTGTTAACCCCCTAAGCCCCCCACCAAGGTACTCTGTGCACCTTGCACTTGGTAGATCCCCTGAATTTGCAGGCCTCGTTGGCCTGCTCCACCCGTCTTCTGCTCATGGCTTCGGATGGAAGTGCTTCCTGTTCCGCTGACCGGCAGAAGGGGCCCTTTGGTCTGTGGCAGAGGCCTGGAAACCTTCTTCATTGGGAGGCTGCTGGGTTCCTGCATCAGTAAGTTGCACCTGCTGGCATAAAAAGAGTCAAGGTAGAATCCTTTGCTTGACCCCTCAGCCATGAAATCTACGGAGTGCCGGGAGAGATGAGGAGCTGGGGACAGCGAGCTGCCTCTGCTTTTCCGCTCTCAGCACTGTGCTGGCTTAGCAGTCAGCACAAGCAGACCTGGGGCTTGCCAAAGTCACTTGTACAGCTCCCAGCTGTGTGTGAGCTCACTGGGGAGGCCTTACGTGGTCATTTCCATGTGGCTTTAGATCCAGAAGAGGTGCCAGCCCACCCTGGGGGTGCGCAGGTGGGAAGAAAGATGGCCACAGAAATGGTTTGACAGAGAGTGGGTTGTTGGGGCCTCTTCTGTTTGATAATGAGGGATTCCTTTGGGCTTATGTTGAGGTGATACAGGATTTCAATTAGTGGGGAAAAAAGGAGGCCAGAAGAGAAGCCAGAGCAAGCACAAGGAGGCAAGCTGGGATCTTGGCGAAACTACCAGAGGTGAAACTACCAGAGGTGTCTGGAGAGCTCAGGGCAGGCGGGCCCTTGAGGTTTTGTGGCTAGTGAAGCTGCCACACAACCACTACCTTGGGTTGCTCCACTGCTGTTTCTCAACAGAGAAATCTTCCAGAATCCACCTTTTCCACCTCCCTGGGCTATGTACTCAGCTTTGTGCTTGCTCTGCTTCGCAGGATCTCATCCGGAGATTAAGGGTCTCAAACCCAAGCACAAGGGGTTGGCATTGTGTTGTGGCAGGTTAAACCACTGCCTGAGATACCAGTACCCTATATTGTAGCTACAGTTGACCTTGGTCTACTCTCTTTTAATGTAATCCCTTGCTAAAGAGCCTGGGAAAGCAGTGACAGATGGCCCAAGTGCTTGGGACCCTGCCACCCACATGGAAGACCTGGATGGAGTTCCAGTCTCCTAGTTTTGGCTAGGCCCAGCCATAGCTGTTGTTACTATTTAGCAGGTGAATCAGTGGATAAAAAGTATTTCTCTCTCTCCCTATAATTTTGAAATACATATCTTTTAATAAATAAAATAATCAGGCATGAAGAATCTCACCAGAGTCTGGCATTCATAGTGGAATCACTGAATCTACACATTTCACATATGAGAAGACTCTATAAGGGACCAGTTTTCTGGGAGCTTCGGTGGATAGGTTGGTCAAACTATTTGAGTGTAATCACATCTTCAGCCATTTAAAGTATCTAAATTCCTTCACTGCACCTTGGTGTACTGGCATTTTTGTTGCAGTCACTTAAAAGAAAAGAAAGGCTATATTAAGGAAATCTAAAAATCAGCATTTTGCTAAAAGTGCTATTCCTCAGATTGTGCCTACAGCCCCCACAGGACCTGCTAGGAGCTTAGCAGGGAGCAAAACCCACTGTTTAGCTGCCATCTGTCCACATTCTATCTTAGAAATATGGTTAATGTAGCTGGCATGCCCAAGTGGGCTGCTCTTCCAAATACGGGGCATCTGACAGAGGACAGCAGGCTCTTTCAGTAGGTACCTTTGTTTTCTTTTCAGCACAAGGAAAAAAAAATCCACCGTGAGCCATAGACTCAGTAGCAGAACTAAAGATTATAAGTACAGAAAGGGGCCTTGGGCCCAGGCAATGCCCTTAGCATTAAAAGTATAGCATGGCTCAAGCTAACCAACTAACATATTTTTGCAAAGTTTCAAAGAGTACACTTAAGATCCACTATGAAAACTCACTTTTTTTGAAGAACCCCTGCGCAGCACCGAGCACAAGCATCATCTGGATAATCATTCTGTTATATGTTTAGCTTTGGAACTCGAGCTGTGGTGTGGTAGACTAAGTCGCTGCCTATGACACTGCCATAGCATATCAGCACCAGTTGAAGCCCAGCTGCTCCGCTTCTGATAGAGTTCCCTGCTGATTTGTTTGGGAAAGTAGCAGAGGATGGCCCAACTGCTTGGAACCCTGCCATCCACATGGGAGACCAGGGCAGAGCTTTGGTCTGGTTCATCCCTGGTTGCTTTATCCACTTGTGGAATAAACCAGAACACAGATTTCTCTCTCTCTTTTCTTTCTCCCTCATTTCAAGTAGGTAAATACATAAGTTTGAAGTCTGAATTTCATGCCTGGGGTCTGCTGGTGGGAAGAAGCCCAAGTTCCTCTCAACATGTGCTGTAGGGAAAAGGAGAAGGCTGCAGCATACCTGGTGCCACAAGGGCTGCACCTGTACGCCAGTCTTCTGCTCATTGGCAATCCAAGGATTAACTCCATAGACAGCATGGAGCTGAGGAGGAGGAGTAGGCTGACGCCAAAGTTTGAGGTAGTCTTGAGGTGTCTCCAAGGTTGTCAGAGTTGATTCAACACTTCTGGAATACACAAAAATCATTTCAGAATTTGGGCTATGCACCAAGAGCAGCTGAGCCACAGAGGTCAAGTGGTTGCTGCCCAAGAACAAAACTGTAAGAGAATAAAGCTGCTGCAGTGAGGCAGACCTAGAGATTATGGCTCAGAGACATGCTCCTACTCACAGGTGCTTCCGGCACATTGCGGGCAACACCTAATCTTCCCAAGTAAAGTAAATGGAGGTACAGTAAGAAATTATGTGCCTTACTATTTGTTTTATATTTTCTTATTCATTACTTGGTCATACCTGGGGCTGCCAAAAATATGCCTTAGACAAGTCGTGTCCTTACCCTCAAAATCAGTGTTCTCTCCAATATCATAAGCCTGGAGATCTTGTGGTAAGTATACAATCCCAGCCCAGACTCCGTAGCTACTGTTTCAACACACTCCTCAGTTACCTCGTACTGACTGTCAAGGCCATGGAAATCCTTTCACTTGCTCTACTGTGATCAACAGATACCAGGGAAGTTGGAGCTTGATTCTGGAAGCCCAGATACTCTGCTTGACCACTTCTCTACAGATGATCTGTGCTGAGACTAGGCTTAAGGAATCAAACCAAGTGGTCATCTTGGTCTACAAGCTAGTAGACCCTAGTTGTGAGGGTGTAGACCCTAGTTGTGTAGACCCTAGTTGTGAGGCTTCCTAGTCTGTTCCTTTTGTACACGAGGACTCCTCTGTTCCATCAGTGAATGCTTGGCCGTGCACCGTGCATGCAGAGGCAGTGTGGCCAGCGTCCACAGTGTCCACAGAGAAAGGTGATATGAGAGCGAGTTTCTACTGTTTAGAGCAGGAGTGAGGAACTTCTAGTGTGCAGGTCTGCCTCTGCAAAAGCAACTGCAGATGGGACTCAAAGTTTAGTGAGTCTGTATAGCAGGCTACCTTTTAAGCTGATAACTTTGTATAGCACACAAATGGATATTATAACTTTCCATATGGCCCTTGGCAGAAAAAAAAAAAAACACTCCCCACCCTTGGCTTACAGAGAGAGCTGTTGGTATCCCATGTCCCTAAGAAGAAAATGGTGATTTTTAACCATATGGCCATTGCATGCACTCCTTACCTGGAATCTTCCAGGCCGTCAGTATCTGCATGTTGGTAGAAACCAGTGGGCTTCTGCTCAGTTATTATTTGTAGTGGAACAACAATGGGTGGAGTCTGCACATATGTAACGTGTTTATTATAGACCGGCAGAGTTTGGCTCGGCAAGCACAGCTTCATCGTCTGATTCCCCAGCATGGCATCATGCTGCTGTTGCTGCTTCTTCTGCTCCTGTAGCTGTTCCATCTGCTGCTGCAGCAGCATCTGCTGTTCCTGCAAGTACTGCTCCTGCTCCTGCAGGTAGCGCTACAGCAAAAGATGAGAGCACCACAGCTCAGGCCTCACAGGAAAGCATGAAGACCACCCACTGCATCCCCCACAAAGCTGACGCCCATGGGCTCCTGCCTCTGCTCACAGGCTCAGTGCGACTGTGTCCTGGTTTGACAGGGCACCAGCTGGTATCATGCTGCTCAGAGAGTGTACTACTGCAGCACATATACACATGTATGTAAGCATGGGATAGCATGTGTTTGGGTCTAGCTTGCACAAGACTTTTTAACTATCTTGTATAAATGAACTAAACAAACAAAGTGAGTTCAAATCCTCATGAAAATAAAATCCCACTTCAGTTCCACATTTCAGATGGGCTTTCCACACCTGGGTGGAAGCAGTGGGATGATTCTCAAACGTATTAGGGAATACCGAAGAGCGAGATGGGCCACAGAAGCGTTTGGCCTCATGTACATCCGAGAAGGACCTCTTCCGTTGGCCAGAGCATTCAGGCTTGAGTTCAGGACTCACAGTGTGCTCTGGTGTGGATGTCAGCATCTGTAAAGACACAAAGTCGCAAAGCCTTATTCAGGTTTCACACCTTTTCTTAGGGAACAAGAATGCAGCAGGATCGTCCACAAAAAAAAAAAAAAAAAAACCCAAAGGAAGTCTTGTCTGCACACAAGCCATGCCTTTCACCATCAGGTGCCTTGGGGCCCATCGCAGCTCCTGCAGCTAAGAGCAGAAGGAGAAAATCCCAAGCAGCAGCTGTGCCGTGCCTCTCTGTGAAGAGCAGCTGCTTCTACCACCAGGCCTATCGACTAACTCCTTGAAGGGCGTCAAGGTCCCTCTCCGCTCTCCCTCCTACCACTTATACAGAGCCAGTCTCGGACCTGATACGCAGACCTCTGCATTGTCTGGAGTTGCTCCTTCATCATTTCCAGAGCATCTTGCTGGCTTGTTATGTCAGCCTCTAGCACCTGAGTTCGGACTTGCAGCTGTTCCTTGAACTTCTGCATCAGGTTCAGTTCATGGCCACCGGTGTTGGAAGCAAAAGGAAATGATGACAGCTGTGGGAAGGAATCATTATGATTCACATACAGGAACACTACGTTCTTCAAATCTCACCATGTTGTTTTACTTTACATTTTTCAGACTAAGACTTAGAAATAATAGCACTCCAATCCATATTTAATTCATTTACAGAAAGATGAACTGAGGATAATTATAAGAATCTGATAATTCTACATTAGAAATGGACTCACAGATAATTTAGTCTGATTTTTTTTCCTAAAAAGGAAGATATGGAATTGGGCCAGAGACATGAAGTGCACAGTCACCAGTGGAAGAATGAAAGAGTGGAGCCAAAGTGGTGCACTCTTAGGTCAGACTGTCAGAGTCAGAGTCAGGAAGAAGCTAGTAGGATGAATTAAAGTTAAAACAGGGATGTAAAATAGGCCAGAGGAAGAAATGCAAAGGAAGGAACTCATATGAGAGAATTTAAAAAAGTGGACTTCTGGGGCTGGCACTGTGGCATAACAGACTAAGCTGCCACTCGTAATTCTGGCATCCCATATGGGCTCTAGCTTGAGACCTGGCAGCTGCACCTCAGATCCAGTCTCCTGCTAATGTGCCTGGGGAAAGCGGTGGAAGACAATCCAAGTACCTCAGCCCCTGCACCCATGTGGGAGACCTGCATGAAGCTCCCGGCTCTTGGTGTCAGCCTAGTCCAACTCTGGCCATTGCAGCTAGCTCAGGAGTGAACCAGTGGATGCAAGACTCTCTCTCTCTCTCTTTGTGTGTGTGTGTGTGTGTAACCCTGTCTTTCAAATAAGTAAATTAAATCTTAAAAAAAAAATAGATCAGGTGCTCGCTTCAGCAGCACATATACTACAAATGGAATGATACAGAGAAGATTAGCATGGCCCCTGAGCAAGGATGACATATAAATTTATAAAGCATTCCATAGTTTTTTGCAATATGTATCCCTGCTCCCAAATCAAAGACAGACTCCAGATGAAACTGTTGGACATGTGTAGATAATGGGATGCTGGACTGTCTGACATTGTCTGTACTAGCAATGCTGGGGCACACTTAAATAACAGACTCATGACTCCTTACGAAGGATTATACGATTATAGCAATGTGGGGAAAATCTTGTCAGGGTGGGATATTGGGGTGGCGGGGAATCCCAGTGTCTATGAAATTGTACCATAAAATTCCAAAATTCAAAATAAAAATTTAACAAATTAAAAATTAAAAAAAAATTTAAAGAAAAATAGATCAGAAACAGGATCTGGAAAGAACTTTTGCTTGCTGTAAACTGTGCAGACACCATGTGTATCAAGAACACAAGGAGTCCATGTCTTGATTTATAATTTTTTTAAATTAACAATTGGGGAAAAATACATGGACCTGAAATTTCTAGTGTCAAAATAAATAGGCTATTATATCACATTATGGTCTGTCAATATCTTTCATGGTGAAGATAACTAGTTGAGGGGGTAATGATGTGGGGAGATGCAGAGATGGGAAGGAGAAAGTGTGAAAGAAAGAGAGAGATCCATATAATTTTATTCTCCTCCTCAATGGAACAAAAATATTTGGCCCATTAAGAACTGCCAGTTATCCTTTTGGTCTACATGAAAGTAAGCATTTATCAGATCATGAAAACAAAACATAAAACTCTCCTAAACTCAGAAGGACAGGAAGAGACAAACTTTACACGTTAATACATCTTAAACAACCTCTCCTGACAGGAGTCTTCTTTTTGTTGTCCCTGGAAAATCAGCTATCAAACCTTAGACCTAAACATTTTCCACTGACAGGAAGGGGCTCCCTGTTGTGGGAGGAGGAGTAGCAATGGCACATGGCTTCCTGCCCCGCCCTTTCCCCATGCTCTAGCATCAACTTGCATTTGATTCTCATAAGCGTGGCAGCCCTTCAGCCATACGGATACAGCTTCCCTATTCATCCCCCTGGGTCTTTATCAGAATCTTTGCTGCCCCTGCAATGTTTCCCAGTTCCTTCTTGATCTTGGGCTCTAGCTCGGGGGTGTCATTCCATGGCACTCGGCATGGCTACCTACAAAGCCAGGCTATACAACATCCATTGTTGTCAGTCCAGTGACTTCAATCAGAAACTATGCTTGGGCAGGAGCTAGAAATATATTCACAAGAAAAGAAATCTGGCAACAGCAAAAGGGAAAATAGATTTTCACATAATAAAAATATAAGTAAGCACAAAATGGATTTCCACAGATATTTCCTTTTAAATAATTGAAATAATGTTCACAGCAGTACATAACGCCCTTGCAAGGTTAAGATCACTTCACGATGGAGGAACAGACCACAGGCTTGCCAAGGTTGCACTGCAGTAAATTCCAACAACTGTCTTTTAGTCTTCAACTCTTTTCATCAGATAAAGATGCTTTTGGCATTAGGAATGGAGTGATTCAACTTAAACTCAGTGACTGATGTACATAATTCACCAAAACTGACCATAAACATATTGTCTTGGCTGCTGATTCAGATTTTAATAATCATCTCTAATGCACAAGATGATTATCCTAATCTGCATTTATGTACACATTTGGTAACAGATGAACTATAGAATGGCTAATTCAAATGTTTTGTTGAAGACTGAATACATGTAACAGTGAAATGTTCAATCTAACCTCACAGAACAGCACATGGAAATACCAGCCTGAAGGAAGAGCTGGTATGGGCAGGCAAGGCAGGTGGTCCCTGCAGGATGGCTCCTACTCTGCACACACTGGTAAGGAGCCAGCACGGCTCTTGCAAACATCGACTTTTCTTAGTATTCAAGTATTCAATTTGCCTCAACCTGCTTGGGCATTCCACAGAAAGAGAAATCCGTTCTCAAGCAGTCAGCCTCCAACCTTTCTGTTGGCAAGAACTATCTCTGGCTTCTAGGCGGCATCTGGAAATCCACTACAACAGAAGCAGGGATAGAATTTTGCTTGCTTGCTTTTACAGGTGTGTTTCCAGGCCCGGCACAATCAAGCAGTAGCTAAATCCTCGCCTCGCACATACCAGGATCCCATATGGAAGCCAGTTCATGTCCCGGCAGCCCTGCTTCCCATCCAGCTCCCTGCTTGTGGCCTGGGAAAGCAGTCGAGGATGGCCTAAAGTCTTGGGACCCTGCACCCGCATGGGAGACCCAGAAGAAGCTCTGGGCTCCTGGTTTCAGATCGGCTCAGCTAGGGTCATTGTGGCCACTCAGGCAATGAACCAGTGGAAGGAAGATCTTTCTGTCTGTCCTATCTCTGTAAAATTTATCTTTCCAAATAACTAAGTCTTTAAAGTAAAAAAAAAAAAAAAAAAAAAAAAGAAGTGTGCTTTCTACCAGAGTGAAACCGGGCACGAGAGTGACCGTTCAGTGTTGGCAAGGTTTGAGGGGCGCACACAGGTGTCGGAGTCATACACGTACTTGAGCACTGAGGCTAGCGGATACGGTTGCGGAGGACAGGACCTCCTGCAGCACGGGGCCCTCTGAGTTTGGTGAGCCTTCCTCAAAGTCTGGCTCGTCTGGATGCACTGAGGACGCTGCTGGTGAATTGTCCAGACTCACTGAATTCACAGAATCCTCCAGCTCATCTGAGCTCACTGAAAACTCTATGTCAATTGGATCCTTCAGCTTCTCCGGATCCACTTCAGGTTCATATCCAAAGCTCTGCAAGGATCCCACTGCAGAAGAAAATATAGCAAGTTCACGACTGAAAAAAGCATAAGTATTAGAGATCTCAAAGGTATTATACAACAGTGAAATCCAGCTTAATCACATTAAGGAAGAGACATGCCTGGCACCAGGAATCACAACAATACTGTGATTTTTTAAAATCTTGGCATGCTTGAAAATGCAGCAGAGGGAGAGAGCTGAATTTCTATCCATCCGTCCAGCATAAACTGGTGCCTGTCGTTCTGGTTGTTCTCAATCGCTACTCATAAGCACATGATACTAAGAGTTGAATACACACTTCCCTTATATTTGCAACGTGCCTAGTGAAGTGGAAATGTATTTCCACTAAAATCTCTATGTAAATATTCATAGTAGATTTATTCATAATCAACAAAAAAGGAAATAAACCAGACTTCCTACTTTAAGTGAATGAATTGAAATATATAGTACATTCACAAGACACAATACAACTCAGCAACAAAAAAGCAATGAACTGATGATTGCGACAACATGGCTGGATGTTAGCTGCTTTTGACAAAGCCAAAGACACAATATCAAAAGAGCTAGATATCGCTTAAGTCCATCAACATGACAGCAGGGAAACCTGCAAAGACAGAATGCAGCCCGTGATGCTCAGAGTGTCGGACACAAGGGTTGATACGTACAAGAGGCAGTGTAGTGTGGTGACGGCTACATGAGTTTCTGCCTTTATCCAAATGCATAGCACTATACACCCACAACAGTGAATTTTGATAAACCTAAGTTTAAAAATAAACTGATTGCAGTGTGAGGACACACCGCTTGGAATGCAGACTATCACAAATGAATTTAACCACATTACAAACAAAATGTCATATCTACGGTGAAGGGGATGAGGAAAAAGGCAAATCAGCTAAATAGCTTCAGAAAACAATGGCTTGCTTGGGTATTAGAAATCAAAAGGAAGAAAAAAGAAGTGCACACACAGCTTAACAATCAACAATACTTTTTTTTTTCCTTACAGAATTGTGGATTGCCAATCATGAAACTACTTTGTATAAAATTTTGTGCAATGAGCAAACCAACATTGTATTGTGCATCCTACCACATGCTAAGGACATGACCAAACTGTCCTTCACCACAGCACATAAGAATTTTTTGTTTGTATCTTTTTTAAGATTTATTTATTTTTATTGGAAAGTCAGATATACAGAGAGGAGGAGACACAGAGAAAGATCTTCTGTCCAATGATTCACTCCCCAAGTGACCTCAACAGCCGGAGCTGAGCCAATCTAAAGCCAGGGGCCAGGAACCTCCTGCAGGCCTGCCATGTGGATGCAGGGTCCCAAGGCTCTGGGCCATCCTTGACTGCTTTCCCAGGCCACAAGCAGGGAGTTGGATGGGAAGCTGGACTGCCAGGATTAGAACCAGTGCCCATATGGGATCCTGGCAAATGCCAGATGAGGACTTTAGCCACTAGGCCATCACGCCAGGCTCAGGACAGGAGTTTTGAATAAGCACTTTAAATATTTGGAAAACTGCCTTCTGAACATCTCTACTTTTTGTTTAGTACAACCTTGGCCAAACTGTTTTACTTCTTTTGCCACTGTCAGTCACTTTCTCAGTTTAGCATGTTAACAGCTCACTTATGGCTTTCTGATTCTAAATTTTAAGCAATGAATTATTAATAAATGATAGTGAGAAATCTATTAACTACTTAATTTATGCAGCAATGCCATCTGTTATTGCTAGTTGTTGCAATGTGGCCATTTCAGTGGAAAGCCAGCTGTGAAGAGTCAGAAGCACTTGAACAGTGATGGCTTACAAGGGAAGTGTATGCTTAGGAAATCACTGAGCTTACAAATTTTGCAAATTACAGTTGTGAATTGATGAGCTTTGTCCCCTCCATCCAAAAATCCATCATTGTAAAAGTACTTACTTTCGGAACAAAGCTTTGAGACTTACAGCAATAATGAAAGGTTTGTTAACCAACAGCATCAGAGTATTCTAAGAAGTTCATGGTAAATGGTATTACTAGAAGTTAATTTTGGTTGGAATATTTTTAAAGCCATGCATGGAAGGACTGCTCATATGCATGGCTCTCAAATTTATATGGAATGAAAATTAAATGTTTTCTTTTAATTCCATTTTCAAAAACTTACTGAGATAATCTCATATTTTAAAAAGCAAAAGTGTAAAAATACGAAAAATAGGGGCTGGTATGCTGGCATAGCAAGTTAATCCTCTGCCCGTGGTGCCAGCATTCCATCTGGACACCACTTTATGCCTGGCTGCTCCACTTACAATCCAGCTTCCTGTTTATGGCATGGAACAGCAGTGGAGGATGGCTCAAGTTCCTGGGCCTCTGCACCCACATCGGAGACCCACAAGAATTTCCTGGCTCCTAGCTCCTGGCTTCAGATTGGCTCAGCTCTGCCCATTGTATCCACTTGGGGAGTGAACCAAGTGGACTTTTCTCTAGGAGACTTTTCTGTCTCTACTCTCTCTGTAAAATTCTGCCTCCCCCCCCCCCGCCCCCGCAGTATGAATGGCCTTTATTGGTCACCATGTGAAGTGAAGGAGGGGATTGCAACAGTTCCTGCTGCTGAGGAGGCATCTGCACTCTCCCTCTCCACCCTCCAAAAGCAAAATTCTGCCTTTCAAATAAAAATTAAATAAGCAAATCCTTAGGAATAGTAAATGTAGCATTTTAAAATTTAAAATGGCAGCATGAATTCTATAAATGGAGATTCCACCCCCCCTAAAAAGCTGTCTATGATACAATTCAGCTAATTAGAGTCATGATGTGGACTATGCACATCCGAAGGTTTTGTGCTTCTATCAGCAGAGTCGCACAAAGCATTTAACACTCATGTGGAAGTGCCACTGCTCTTGGAGACACCCTTTCCCCTTTTGCTCCCGTCAAACCCTTCCCACAGCAGAACAAACTGCAGCAGTAGCAAAAGATAAAGCACTATTCTTCCCATGACTGAGCTCCAGCGCTTTAGAAAAGTAAACTTAAATGGGAGAAAATGATACTATTCGCAATCACTTGAACTTGGAATGAGATATTCATTTTTCACTTCTCTCTAATCATCATCTCAGTAAATTCACAGAAGATAAAGCAAGCTAGAATTCCCTCCTGAGACTGAATTCCATTAGAAAAATAACATTAGTTTCATTTCAAAAGCTGCAACCAACTAATAGATCCACTGTTTTTCTTCTGATCATCTTCTACCCAAATGCCCAAATTTACTTACCTGGAGAATCAAACATAGTTTCCAGGGAAGATGAATCAGAGTTACAAGATGAGTCAGATTCTATCTTAATCACATCAGTGGCTTCTTGTGGTCCATATTCTTCAACAGCCACCACATCAGACTGATCCTGTGAATTTTCAAAAGAGAAAGGAGCTGCTCTTTCATTTAGCAGATGGATCTACACAACAGGAAGCAAACGCAGAATGTATTGTGCCATATTTCACACCCAAAATCCTAATACTGTTTCAATCATCTGAAAACATAATACAAAAAACCCACTGTGTCCTTGCAAAGTGTTCCTGAGGACAGCACCAAGCTGAGATTATGGAAGTCAGGAGGTACACGCTGCCAAACTCAAGAAGGGAAACACAATATACACATATGCTATCAGCAGAAGAATTTTTAAAAATGCCCCTGTATCAAAGTGTTGACAAAGAAATTACATGTTTCAGTGGAGTTGGTAGGATGCTGTCATGGCAGCAGCCAATGATGGAGACCACCTCATTTTCCATGTATGATTATCAGCCTCAAATTACTTGCTCAAAAACACACGGGACAGTTTTGGGAATGCTGCACCATCACTGATGAAGCTATTTTTCCACAGTACACACTCATGTGCACATTGGATGCATATGACTGCCTACTGTGTGTGCCAAACCTGTTTAAGATGCTGGATATATGCTGTCCAACATATATATGCTGCTTCCATTGCAGGAATACGGAAAATACACTCCTAAGTTTGTTTTATTTTTTGAACATCAACATGCCCCCATGAGGTAGCCTAGCAGTGATTGTTCTCTCTTCCTTTCCAATTTATAGGTGAAGGACTGCCAAACTGTCTTTTTTTTTTATTTTGTAAAGATTTCCCTCAGGTCACATAACTGGTAAGTAGAAGGACTGGGAATCAAGCCCTTCTGACGACTCAGTCATTTTTAATTTGTAGTGACCCAATCTGTCACCTGTGCTAGACCTGTCAACACAGCAGCAGGAAGATGAAGGAAGACCTGGCCATTTTTCCACTTTGGAATGTCTCTTCTTCTATACCTTTTTCCTTCTGGTTTTATTTGCTATTTTTTTTACTATTACTATTTTATTTATGTGTGCCAGAAAGCACCCCAAAGTTCATGGAAAATGTATATTATGGAAAAACTATGTGTAAATTTCAGAAAGAGTTTTCACCAAAACAAAACTTTTAAATCTGTTTCCATTACTTTTCTGTGTAGTTTTGCACTTGAGGGGTACAGTCTGTGTGTAATGAGTAATCCAGATTGCTTAACATCTGCATATCCTTTTTAAAATAAACATACAATAATTGCATAAGTTTATGAGATATCCTGTGATATTTCACCTCATGATATAATATATGATTAAGCTATAGTAGTTAACTTTTCCACCTTTTTATCACTGCTTTATGCTTGGGGCCTTCCAACTCTTTTCTTCCAGTTCCTCATAAAATATCTAACAGCCTATTGCGAACTAATCACCCACTAGCCTGTGGAATTACAAAAGCTAAACACTCTGTGCTGTGGTACTTGCTACAATGTGTAGGAACATGGATGAAAACTGGAGGGCACTGGGTTAAGTGAAATATATCAGAAAGATGAATACCACACCTTCTGTCCTATATGTGCAAGCTTTAAAAAACATGGATATGAACCTATAATTGTAATTGCTAGAAGCTGGAAAAAGTTAGAGGGCTGGAGGAGGATAAAAATCAGATAAATGTGCAAAATCATACAAAATAATGTTTCTAGTCATTGAGGAAAGTCTCAGGTTTCTTGGTTTCTATTTGTACATACCCCTTAAAAATGTCTCCAGTAACATTTGGTAAACTAGCACATGGATGACAATGTGAATGTGTTAGGGGAAGAATGAGTACAACACAGACTGATTAGGAACTGACTCCTGCTTATGAAAGGATGCTGCAATCTGACAAATCCACTTACTTACCTTCTGCAGCAGGCTGGGCAATAAATTCTCATTATGAAATGCATGTGCAGGACAGGTACCTTCAACAATGTTTGGGATAGAGGTTAGTTTGATTCTTTTTTAAAAATACTGTCAGGACCATTCAAAGCGTGGCAGCTAGTGGCTCCCGATTAAAAAAAAAAAAAAAAAAGGTTTTCACAAAATGACAACTATGGAAACTTGTTCATGTGTCCTGCCCATAGAAGACACTTCTCGAAGTTAAATTCTATCTATGTGGGCAACACACAGTCAAGAGCTTTCAATGTACATACATTTGAGGTAGTAGCAGTAGCTTTATCACGCAGGTTTTCCAATCTGGAACTTCTTATTTCACCTTGAACAGTTCTATAAACAGGTGAAAAGAGAAATGGTAAGCATATCTCACTTGCCATTTACAACTAAAGTTTAGATTAATCAATCTTTGAAATATCATTTTTCTACAGAACCACTCATTCTGCACAACAGGTACAAAATATGTCATCTAGCCCCTTGGATGGATGACAGCTGCTGCAGGTCTCAATGTCTCCTTTTAATAGTGGTGAGGAAAGCAAGATTTTAAAAAGTCAAGGTGAATGAGAAAACTAAATGTGGCCCAAAGCTATTTTTGTAATTATAGTTGGCTTCAAAAAATAAGAACAGTTAGTTTCCTGTAATTAGAGAAATTCTCTGACTCATCAACAATTCATTTCAATCAAAATAAGAATCAAACCCCCAAGTTTTGTGGCACATTTCAAACTAAATACTAGCTTTCTATCGATTAAGTAGGATGGAGAAATAGACAAAGAGGTGAGGAGTGAGCAGAACATGAATAAATGAATATCTTATTTTAATATTAATATTATTGTTTCAGACTTTAATTTTTTTCATAACTGGAACTCTGAAATTGAACTCGTTTGTTTTCAATAAATTTTCACTTAAAGACCAAAAATTGAAAAGTCTCTATCACCCAAGCAAAATGAGGAAGTCTCAGAATCTGATAATAAACACAGCTAAAAAGCAAATTTTGGAGCAGCAGCATGGCAGCAAAAATCATATCTATGAAGTACTCTGAAGTACAATGAGAAGAGACAAAATTCATATGGCTATTCCATATGATATCAAAATGCTTTCACAAGGAAGAGAAAATCTCCATTCTAAATTATATATTACACAGCCAAAAACACACTTTTATTTATATCATTCACTTCTAATACAAGACATTTGAGGCCTTCAAAAATTTAGTTTGCATTTTCAAAGTACATAATGTTAGGTAATACTGATTTACATAGCACAAAACAGCTGGTTAATGACTTAATTCAGTCAGTTGTGTACTGTCAGGATACATCAGGCAGGATAGCTGGGGCAGCAGAGGCCCGTGGGAGCCTGCTGAGAAGAGGCTCCAGGAAAGAGGAGGAGGGGGGCCTCTTGCCCAGAGCGCACTCTTGTCCCAGGGAGTCCTTGGATGTGCATTCATGCTCTGCTTGATGATAGGCGAACATCTGTGCTCTGTCTAGTCAACCAAGGACAGACAGCGCTCCTTATCTACTCCCAACTTCAATAATGCTTGGACCAAGTCATCTTGTTAGCCTTTTTGAACGCTCGGCTCTCAGACATGATCTAATTCTGACTTGTGTCTGAACAGTTGTTTTACTAAGTATATGAGAACGGGAACCCTGGAAATCAACTTTGTCAGTTGCCCAAGACAGCACTGTCCCCCCATTTCTTTTCAGTCACATCTCCTCCCCAGGAACTGCAAGGTAAACTTGCAGTGTACATGATTAAACAGTAAAATTTCTATTATATATTACTGATTTGATTTTAGTGTCTGTTAAACATAAATGAAATCACTCATTTATGTGTTCAATTATCACTTAAAATAAATTCCTAAAAATATTATTGTGCCTAATTTTATTCAATCTATAATTTATAAGCTAGTTTCATCTAACAGAAAGTTTTCTCACTTAACAAACGCTGGTACTTCTTTGGGCTATTTCTGATTTTCTATTCTTCCATCATTATCACCATTGCAAGCCACATCATATTCCTTAACTGTAACTGAAGTGACTCTCCTATTATCTCAAGAGTTCTCCCTAAGATGCATATATCCTGGGACCAGTGTTGTGGCAAAGTGGGTTTGAGCTCCAGCTCTCCCACTTCTGAATCGGCTCTCTGTTACTCCACCAGGGAAAGCAGTGGAGGATAGTCCAAGTACTTTGGCCCCTACACCCATGAGGGAGACCCAGAGGAAGTTCCTGGCTTCCTTCTGCCGGGCCCAATTCAGCTGTTGAAGCAGAGGGTTAAAATCCTGTCTGTTAATTTTCAAATAAAATATTTTTTAAAAAGATCTGTATGTCTGGCAGGTTGATGAGTAGCGTTGCCCTGCATCGCGTCATCTAACACTGCAACAAGCAAGTCAGCGTGACTACCTCTTTCTCAATTCTGTTTTGTATAAAACTTATTACTGTCTGCCTAGTGAATGTGCTGAAGGCGGCAAATGTGCTTCGACCATCCCACATCCCAAGCATGGATCACAACACAGAGCACTGACTAGGTACTCTGCAAATATTTACTGAGTGAATAAAGAATAAACATATAAACTTAGCAGTCATTTCAATCAAAATTCACCCCTTGTTTGCTTGATTTGGTACTATCATCTGCTTTCTTAAAAGACAAAATGAGATTTTATTTCAGTTTCTTAAAAGCAACTGAGTACTTTCATATTGCCTTCCAAACAGTAAGTGCTTTTATACCTGAGAAAGTATATGAATGTCTTATTGCACTGTCCAACATGGTAGTATTAGCCACATGTTTAACTGCATTAAAAGTTTATAAAATTAAATTTTAAATGCAGTTACTCAGCCACAGTAGTCACAGTTCAAATCTTTGGTAGCTTCATGTGGCTAATGGCTGCTGTATAGGAAAATATAGAGGACACAGCATTTCTGCCAAAATGGAAAGCTGTACTGTACTCTGTGGGTCAGAGCAGGCATTGAGTTTTACTTGATAAAAGCAATTAAGTATTCCTTTAGGTCCACTGGCTTCAATAGATGAAATTGTAAAATGATTAAAATAATTTATAAAATGTTAATTCAATTAATAATAAACTGTTTCCCAAAGCATTTAGTAAACTTAAGTTTCAGACTTATGAAATCAATACAGATGGAAAATATTTAATTTATAACCATAATATCAAAGCCAGAAATAAACACATACATTTTAAAGGAAAAGTAAGCAAATAAGTATTTTTCATTGAAATGATGCACTCAGGACGAGTACAACGTGTAACATGCAGTTTGCAACTACATCCACTGCAGGCTTTTGGCAGCTTTCATTGCCCAAACTGTATTCCTTCATCTTCAAAAAGAAGAGGAATAATTAAAGAACACTTTCCCAGCTGCAGCTACATAAAAAGTAGACCATAATTCTGGAAAACAAAAAGTGCCTGTATTTCATCATTTAAAAATTTCCTAATACTTCTCTTTTAAAAAAGATTTATTCGTTTTTATTGCAAAGTCAGATATACAGAGAGGAGGAGACACAGAGAGGAAGATCTTCTGTCCGATGGTTCACTCCCCAAGTGGCCGCAATGGCTGGAGATGAGCCAATCTGAAGCCAGGAGCCAGGAACGTCCTCCAGGTCTCCCACGCAGGTGCAGGGTCCCAAGGTTTTGGGCCGTCGTCCACTGCTTTCCCAGGCCACAAGCAGGGAGCTGGATGGGAAGTCAGGCTGCTAGGATTAGAACCGGTGCCCATATGGGATCCTGGCAAGTGCCAGGTGAGGACTTAGGCACTAGGCTACTGCACTGGGCCCCAAAATACTACTCTGAACTGAGTACCTGAAGCTTCTTACTCCTTCACACTTTAAAGCTCTTACTCAGGTTTGCTCTTAGCTGCTAAAGTACTTGACACTGAATGAATTACTTTAATGTAAGGTTGTTCTCAGTTCTGAAAAGCTTCTTCTACTTGCTATATAAACAAAATTGTAACTATGAAAAAGACACTGAATGAATACTGTCCTTTCATAACTGAAAATACTACAGACTAAGGGTCAGAAAACTGATGACAGTCCAATAGAATACTAAATGTCTTAATGTAACAAAAACCATCTGGTTTGAAAAAAAAAATCAGAGCTCCCTTCTTGGTTGGGGATTATGAACAAAGTTTAAGGACCAATTTCGAAGAAGACTCTAAGACTACAGGCACAGAGAGGAAACACACTATGATGTGCTGCTGGAGATGTGAATCTCTGATCAAGTAGCAGGCATCCTCAACTCCTTTAGGACCAACTGCATCTCAGTAATCCTTGGCAACAAGATTGGTACTAGCACCTCCAAAGCTTGACTCCCCTGGAGTCACTTAAGCTCTCAGGAGAGGACTTTTGTTAAATGATTCCCTGAGGATCGTGCCCCAAGCCCACTACTGTATCCAGCACACCAGAGATGCCAGGGAAAGTGGACGGAAGTTGGTGTCATTATAATTAGAGTCACGATAAACGCATGCAACTTCAGTGATCAGCTACACCTCGGAAACATTGAAGAAAGATCATTCTAACCTCATGTGCAAACACAAAATCAAAGTTTTTGCAAATTAACACAAAAAGAAAGGGCTCCATAATATGTGCAGTCTTGCAGAAAGGTGATTATCTCAAGTGCCCTTATAAGTGATCTTCTCTTCGCTCACTCTAGTCCTTAAAAGTTTCTATACACTGAAATATACTGAGAGGTATGATGATGCAATTTGCTTTGCAATTGTTCTTTCAAGATTTTAATTCTCTCTCCTAGAAATATGTGTTCTCAGAGACGAATTCTGCATGCTCTACCATTTATTCAGAGACAAGAAAGATTCTTCAGTTTAAGATGAGCAGGTGAAGGGAGGGGGCCGCGGGGTGGGACAGGCCAGCACAATGGGTCAACTAGTTAATCCTCCCCTTGCAAGTGCCAGGATTCAATATGAATGCCAGTTCATGCCCTGGCAACACCATTTCCATCCCAGATTCTTGCTTGTGGCCTGGGAAGGCAGAGGATAATGGCTCAAAGCCTTGAATCCCTGCACCCATATGGAAGATCCAGAGGAACCTCCTGGCTCCTGGATTCAGATTGGCTCAGCTCTGGCGATCATTTGTGGAGTGAATCACTGCATGGAAGATCTTTCTCTCTGTTTCATCTTCTCTGTATTAAATATATATATACTGTTTTTCCAATAAATGAGTGGATAAATAAATCTTTCTAAAAATTGATGAGCAGACTGGGAACTAAAAGCCAGAGTTACTATTGCCACAGATTATCTGAATTAGTATCTTCTTTTATGGAGGAGGAAGGAAGGGAAGAGAACAGGACAAAGTGGGTGAACAGCACATATTTGCAAATA